ATTATATGCTGTTGTTGTTACTCTTTCGACTGCTTCCGTTAGGGGTTGCCAGAGCAGATCACTGGTCCAGGTATATTTGATTTGGCACAGTTATTAGGCACACTTTTTACACTTCCTGACACAACCCTCCCCAATTTTATTCAGGCTTGGGATTGGCACTGAGAGCACACTGTTGCACGCAGCCCCAGTGGTTCCCTGGCCAGGAATTGAACTGGGGCTGCAGCAGTGAGAGCTGTGTGGCCTAACCACCAGTTCTCCAGGGACAGACACCCCCCCCCCCACCCCCCCCAATATATAAAGAATATATTGTGTGTGTCGTTTGGTGCCGCAAAAATCGGGATTATGAAGGATCAGTATATAACAGCTAACGATTCAACGGGACGCATTTCATTCCAAACTTTTCAACTGCAACTCTACACTCCTGCATGCCAACTCAGACCTTCAACTTCATCTTCTTTGACAGGTCCTTCTCTGAGTTTTAAGTTTGCTTGTAAGGTGAGACGTTACAGCTTCAGTGTTTGGCCTCCTTTAGTGATTGAATGAGCTCCTTCTTCGAGTTCACATAGTCCTGCATTCTTAGTCATTTGGCAATGGTCTAAAGATCTTCTTCCACTTTGTTTTGAAAAGGGACAGTAATTTTGATGGGGGGAGAAAAACTTGTGTAATCAATTACAGCCCAGGCCGATTTGCTGAGAAAGCATTTCTGAAGTGTTTCTGCTGATCTGTTTAAAGCATGTCTCACAGAAAAAAGGCTTCCATTTTAACTAGCATTTAAAGCCACACCAGCTGTTTAACCTCTCCAACATTCACTAAATGTTTGCTGTTTTGGAAGGATTGTAATTTGTACTTGATGTTGTTAACATCAACATTGTGTCTCCACTGAGAGCCTGTTAGAAGAAAAAGTCTCAAATATTACATGTACATTTGTGATCTCATGGTGGTACTTTTCTGTAAATAATACCGTGATACAACAAAGTGATCATATTGTGGTGTGTGTGATGGTAACATGAAACACAGGACAAGAAACCTGAGAAAACTCGCTCATTCTCTGTTCATTTTTAACTGTCTTGATATATAAGTTTTATCATACAAAAGACAATTTATTGCAGATATAATAAAACAGTGAACAGGGTTTAAGTGATCTTTTAGGAAGCGCTTGGGCCAGGTTTTGCTGCGAGCTGTTATATAAACATTTAATGGCCTGCACTTTAAAAAAAGTAAGTTATATCTCTGTCTTCAGCCAATATCTTTTGGATAGCACTTCACTGAATTGCACTGGTGTTTTATTGTCTGGGCAAATACAAAGGTCCTTACTTACATTTTGAATTTGGCCTCTTTAGCTACCATGCAGACAAATCCAGACTAGCATTTGTCTCTAGTTTTTCAGGTCATGAATCCCATGAATCCTTACAGAAGTATTTTTATTGCACCTTCAGCTTTTTTGCTATGTGGAAAGAAGTAGGAGTGCCACCACTCCTTCAGCAGGATTGACTGGCACAGAGGAGACACATATCTCCTTCAGTGGGACTGACAGGTGCAGAAGCGTCATGTCCTTTTCTAGGACTGACGGGCACAGAAGCCACATCTCCTTTCCTAGCACTGAAAGGTGAAGAGGCCACACCTCCTTCTGTAAGACTGACAGACACAAAGGCCATGTAAAGTTCACAAAGGCTCTGAAAGTTAAGATGTTGCTTACAATAACAGAGATAAAATGAGGTACTTATTGTATAAAGAATATAACGATGATTCAGCACCGTGTCGTCTAAAATTATCACACTCGTTTCTGTGTTTCTGCAGCTGTTCGAACATCCCAACTACAGAAGCAGCCGTCGTGTCGCAGTGTTTCTGAGCATGCACGATGAAGTTCGCACTGAGGCCATCCTTCGGCACCTATTCAGCAGCGGCAAGATCTGTTTCATCCCCAGGTATCAGAGCGACAGCAACCACATGGACATGCTACAGCTGAACAGTGTGGAGGACATGAACTCGCTGCCCGTCACCAGCTGGAACATCCGGCAGCCCGCTGACAATGACACACAGAGAGAGGAAGCTCTCACTACAGGTAGGTTCCCATAAAGTGCATCACACAGGGTGAGAACATTTAGTTTTTTTTTTGTGAAGCCAATTTCATTTTTTGGCAAATTGTTTATTACTTATAGTTACAGTGGAAGACGTAGGCAGTTTACTTTCGGGAGAAGGAAAGGGGTCTTTTGTGAAACTGAAGGAATTTTATTAGGTACTTTCATTTGACTATGAAAGGACGTGTGCATAATATGTTATAGTGGGAGGAAAATGCAAAACGACTGTTCAACATCATGCAAAACAACAAACATCAATTTAATGGAAGCCCAAAAACGTTTTTTTTTCCTTCAAAAATGAATAAGTGAACTTCTTTTCTCATGTTCCCATGTAGTGGCCTAGACCACCAGATGGTGCTGTCTTGTTACTTTCCATTCAAGCCAAACTCAGAAAATGGTGTGGTGCAGACCTGATAATGGAACACTTTTTAAAATGTTGCATGGATAAGTAATAATAATAATAATAATAACAACTTTCATACATTTATAATAATAATAATTTTCATACATTTAAAAAGCAGTTGAAAGTGATTTGCAGTATGTGCACAAGTCAAAATGACAAAACAAGAATCTCAGTGGCTTCATTTCCTCAGTTAAATGGTCACAGCCTGTCCAGTCTCTTGAGTCTTGAGTCTAGATGCTAGCAGCCGTTCCTTCTTTTGGTTCTCGCTGCCCCTCCCATCTTGGTGCTAGCAGCTCTTCCTGTCTCTCGGTTCTTGCAGCCCTGCCTATCTTTGAAGGATTTCAGATGTCCTCTCATTCTCTCTCTGAAGGACCGCAGATGTGTTCTCTCTCTGAAGGATCGCAGATGCACTTTCTCGCCCTTTCTCTGAAGGATCACAGATGCGCTGTCTTGCTCAACAATGTGATTAAACACATGTTTAAAGCACTTTTCTCAAATACAGTGCACACCAGGCTGGTGAATTTCCACCCGATAGGTGCTATTTGTGTTTTGCATTTTCTTATTTGTCCAGCAGGTTGAGACATGCTAAAATTACAAGTGTGGGCATAACAATGTAAGAATAGAGCCTGTGCAACCTCTTCCTTTCCCACACACTCCTTCACACATCCCTTCGTATTTCACTCGTCCCAACCCATCCCCTATTTATCCAAACTCCCTCCTCAGTTCAGCCCAACCTTTCTCATGTACATCCGAACCACTCATAACTTGCAGCACTGGCTCTCTACCTCCTGCACCATCAACATCTCAACATCTCGCTCTTGCAGATCTCACTATATACGTCCAGCATACAGCATTCCTGATGTTTACACCCTGATCCTGCTACATAATCTCTAATTTACATACTCATGATCCAATGCAGGGACTAGTTCTACTATCCCAAAACCCTCCAAGAGTAGCAAGCTCCCACTTGATTTTCATCAGCTGATCACCTACCATGGTAAACCTTCCTTTTATACCCACACTTAAAGGAGTCAGCTACAGCTAGATTTTCCATCCTTGCTAACCACTTATTCCTATTTAATTAACAAAAGGAAGATGATCTATCATCTCTCATCTCTCGTTCTTAAGGCTCTTGGACCTCCTTGGAATGACTGCATTACAAAAGCACTAAAAAAAGAAAGTCTTCTTCCTCCAAAGGCCAAGTTCACTCCCCATCTCCTCAACATCACCTTATCAGCCCCTTTCACTAAAGACTATGTCATCTAAGACACAGATTTCACTAGCACATATCTTACAAATCTGATTTGTATGGTGTAACTTTGGTATTGCATCTTTTTCCTGCCTGCTGAAATCACCCTCTTATATCAGGCAAGCCCTCATACTGTGGTAGCCATATCCCATTATCCATTATCCTTTCCCTACCACTGTTTTGCCAGATCGTTTTTTTTTTTTTAAAAAGTTAGCTTTGAGGGGCGTGTGGTCTTCTCTGCTACTGATAGCTCAGTCTTAAACATTAGTATACCAGATTTGAGAAGAGCTACTGTGTGATACCAAGACACCCAGATCATTTTTCCTCAATAAACATTATATTGAATCTCTGTAGTCCTGTCGTGCAAGGATTTTGCCAGTCTTTATGCTAACAGTATGACTCATGGCAGAGGAAAGATAGGGACTGTGAGAAAGAGATACTGAAGAATAAATGGACCACCACAGTGACCCGTGAGCTAGTTTTACTCTACCAGCCTCCACAGGATGTAAGGAAACCAAGTGTAACCGTGAAGGAATTTGTTAGAGAGTGCATCTGTGGTGTTCACATTGAACACATTGAGTGTGACATTCACACTGAGCCTGACATGTTTGTCTG